CAATTTTCCGGTACTTCGTGATTAGAGAGTAGGGTTTTCAGCTTTTCCTGAGATAGCTTTTTGCCCCAACGCTTCAGCGTCATGTCGGCCAGCTTCTGGGTAATCTTAGGTCCCAAATTCTCGTCATCGTTGATGGCTGCCTCTAACTCGGTGAGGAGGCTTTCTGAAGGACTAGGCCCAGAGTCTTTTTGAGACGCTGGGCGCCCATTTGAAGCTTCGGACTTGTCTCCTACTAGTTTATCTAGCTCATCCTCCGAAGCACACAGACTCATGACTTCGTCGTCGGATKCCTCACTAGAGGAAACTTCGCTYKGTTCTTTAGACCGACGTGGGGTACTCGCTTTTGCTTTCCCGCCATTGTCGCCCGGTGGGCTTCGTGTATGGCCAGTGGCCTGGCGTTCACGGTCATCTAAGGACTGGCAAAGCTTGCCAATGAGATCGGCCATAGTGCCCATTTTGGCGTTCATTTCGCCCAGAGTGCGATCAAGAGGCCCGTACTGAGCCRGTGGCTCGCCAGTTCCCGGTGGGATGGTGTTGTCCTCGGCGGTGCCTGACGTGATGGTTACAACGGGTTCTAAGTGTTTGTCGCCCATTTCTACGCAGATTACCTGCAAATAAAACTGTCTACGAAGAAACAAAGGGTTATAATAATTGAGATATACTCACGAATTGAAGTTAAGTCGTGGACTCAAGATAATGAAAGTATTAAAATTGAAGAGCTCGCGAATCGATGTTGCCTGACCTTAAGCAAGGAATGCAATGNGCAAAGATAATCCGAGGGAATATTGGCGTGATTCACATTTTCGGAGGAGCTAGAAATTAATTTCTGGCGGTCACTGTGGGGTTGACCTAGCTACCTTCACTTCTTTTTAGAGCGAATGATAACAATAGCAATAAATGGCTCAAAATAGCTCAAAATGCCCTGAAACTCAACCGGAATACAAAGAAAACCCCAATAAACAGGTAGAGATGTTTATTTTTTTATTAAACTAGCATATTTCGCAAAATTACTAAAAACGGTTAAAATGTATAGCTTGGGCTACCTGTGACTCAAGATATGCACAAGAATTCAGCTATAAGTGAATTTCTAAGATACTCAAAGCTATAACAAATACAATCGTAATCACTGTTCAAAAACTGGCGCCCTTAATGGTTTTAAGGTGCCCATCTTGATTCCCTTGCACCGTGCGACTTCTTATCACAGACATCACATGTACATCACTGGTACAGGGGTCACTGACCAAAGGCTTATGACGATGAAAGGACCTGGTTCTCTCCCTTTATAGTTAGTTAGTTTATAGTTATAGTTTTTTTGCACTAAGTTTTTTTGGACTAAGATAGTCAATTCAGGTATGTCTAACGCATAAAATTAAAGTGTATAATAATAATATAGTAATAGTAGAAGGGCTTGTTGACATGTTGTTGACATATTCTTGACAGAAATGTAACAGAATTTAACCTTGTAACTTCGTAACTTTGTAACTTCGTAACTTCGTAACTAGCGACATCGATTGTTATTACTGCTTTTTGACACTTGCGGTGATTTTTTTGCGTCTTTCGGTGCCAGATGTACCTCGTAAATAAAAATAGAGGGGGGGAAATATAAAAATGGCTTTAAAAATCAATCTTTATTCATAAAACTGTTTATACTTATTAAAGAAAAAAGAAAAGAAAGAGAAAGTCTTGAAAAGTCTCAAGAAATGAAGTAGAAAAAGTTTACGGCTTCATGAGGGCTCGAACCGTGAACCACGCAATTAATACTTTGACACCGCCGTGAAAGCAACACAACTGTTGAGCCTAGGCCTCCTGTTTGCTTAAATTGAACTCCAAAGATATCGATCATTGATTTCCATTGAGGGAAGTTGTGTTTTCTTAGGGATTCAGTTGTTATTGTTTTTTGACACTTGAGGTGATTTTATTTGTTTTTCGGATCCAGATGTAGCGCTTCTGGTCGACATAGTTGTAGCTCGAGTGGTATTCAACTCGCCGGCGCTCGGCGATGTTTATCCAGAACCGAAGTTAAATTATAAAACTATATTCATAAATCGTTTACTTAAAATTCTATTCGTTAAGTAATTATAATTTGATTCATCGTTATATCTTTCTGTATTCGTCTTCACAATCAATATTCGAGTTGTGCTGCCATTGGCGGCTTGATTTCTTTTACCCTGACCTCGGTTTGATGCGCGCGGCGCGCAGATTTGTGGAAAGTATCTGGGGAGGTCCATTGTGCCCCGCTCGCGCGTTCCTTCGGGTATTCGGGAGCTCCGCTATAAAAATTCACTCTAAAGAAGACGGCTCTTCACAACTCGGCATCTCAATAATCGCGCGCGGGGAATGGCGGGAAAATCTAAAAATAGCACAAAGAGAGTAAATGCCGTTCCACAACCCCAATCGTTGAGGAAGGCTCCTAGTAACGAAATCCTGGAGTACTAGCAATCATTCTCTTCTATAATGCTATTGGAGCTCCGCTATTAGGTCTTATAAAACTTGTATGTAACCTAACATGTCAAACCGTCCAACAGACGTGTTACTGGCCGACACTTTATTCCATCTTTAGTTCGTTTCTTAGTTTACTAACTAGCTAAGTAGTTGCCATTTGGCAGTATATAGTTGACATGTTAGACTACTCTTAAGTCGTCACTAATTAGGCAATATGAAAGAGACACACTGAACAGTCCCCTAAAACACGGCCAGAAAATCCGGACATACGAGCCCGCAATAGCAGCGGTACTTCGCATAAAGCACAAAAACATGTTTGTTAAATTTTACAAAGAAATGTACGGATCAAAAAAAACTATTTGAGAATAACTGGAACGTTTTCCAAGATGAAATCCTAGAGGGAAACTATTCTTGATTCCATTGTAGGAAAGCCAAATGAACACGAAATTGTTAAGAGCGTCCTTTTTGACAATTTTCTTTTCCTTTCGTCGTCTCCTTTGCCCTTGTATTTCATGGTGAAAATTTGCGAAGAAGCGAAATTTCACCGTAGCTGATCGTGTTTCCTTACATGTCATTGATTTTTCAAAGATAATTTCTTAAAGTCCACACATTGAGCTAGAAACACAGCGATTTTCAGTTGTTTTGAAGACGATAAACAGCGTCCTTTTTGGTACTAGAAATCGTACAATTTGAAAACAATACCTTGATGGTGAAATGGCTGGCGACGACTCGTGTTTCACGCGAATAATATAATTGGCCTCGATCTTCCACTTTCTTTCTCATACTCATTAATTATTCATGAGGTATCCAGCCAATCCCTGATTGTAATTTGTACCACGTGAAATAACTTGAAACCAGAGGAAGTACTCGTACCTTTGTATTCTACCTTATTTCCAGTTACTTCTACCTTTTTCAAGTTACTTCTACATTATTTCCAGCTATTTCTACCTTATTTCCAGTTACTTCTACTTTGTTTCCAACTAATACTAGCTAATGATAATCAAATTATTAGAAATAATCAGTTTAACATTAATTTAGTGAAAAAAGGTCTTTGATACATGACTCCCTCACGACTCGATCCCCTACCGTCCAGTCTATATGCGCCGTCTTATACCATTAC